CCAATGTGCTTTTGTTGAAGGAAGGCTAATGGTGGAGAATATACTGCTTACACAAGAGTTGGTAAAAAATTATCACAAGCCTAACATGAAGCCTAGGTGTGCATTGAAGATTGATTTAATGAAGGCTTTTGACTCTGTAAGTTGGAAATTTATTTTCACAGCATTAGAAGCTTTGTCCTTTCCTCCCACTTTTATCAATTGGATTAAGGCTTGTATCACCTTCCCTATGTTCTCAGTTGCTCTAAATGGGAATTTAGAAGGCTATTTTCCTAGTAAGAAAGGGATAAGGCAAGGTGATCCTTTATCACCACACCTTTTTGTCATTTGTATGGAGGTTTTATCAAGGATGCTCAACAAAGCAGCCAAGGAAGGAATGCTACCCTTCCATTCGAAATGCAGCAATGTTGGACTAACTCATCTATGCTTTGTAGATGATTTACTAGTATTCATTGACGGTTCAACGAGAGTAATAAGTGTTGTTGATTCTATATTGAACCAATTTTATTTGCCCACAGGTTTAAAGGTGAACTACCCTAAGTCAGAAATTTTTTTTTGTGGAATGCAACCTAATGAAATAAGGGAGCTAGCTGATTTGTATGGCTTCAAAGTGGGAACCCTTCCTGTTAGATACCTTGGGGTACCACTTATAACTGGAAGACTAACAAATGTTGCTTTAAAGCCTCTTATCACAAAAATAATTGAGAAAATCAACTCATGGACTTCCAAATATCTGTCATTTGCAGGAAGATTGCAGCTTATTTCATCTATTCTTCAGAGCATAACAAATTTTTGGTGTTCTATTTTCATTCTACCAAAAAGAGTAATTAAATCAGTGGAGGGAATTTGCAATGCTTTTCTTTGGAAAGGTAGAGCAGCTGATGCAAGAGGAGCCAAGGTAAGTTGGGCAACAATATGTCAACCAAAGATGGAGGGAGGATTGAAGCCTTTGCATATTTGGAATATGGCTTACATTTTGCGATTCATTTGGCTACTTTTCACCAAGGCAGGCTCTATTTGGGTGGCATGGGTGCAAACATATCTGCTTAAAGAAAAGATTTTTTGGTTTGTAGGAATTCCTGCAGACATTACTTGGAGTTGGAGAAAAATCCTAAAACTTAGAACATATGCTAGACCTCTGGTAAAGCATATAGTTGGTAAAGGTGCCACTATTTTTCTCTGGTATGATTCTTGGCATCCCAAGGGACCTCTTATTGAAGCATATGGGCAGAAAATTGTACGAGATGCAGCCATTCCCTCTCAAGCAAAATTGTCTCATGTAATCTAGGGGGATTATTGGAAATGGCCTCTTGCTAGGTCCCCTGAACTATTGCAGATTCAAATTGCTTTGTGTTGAATGTTATATCCTAATCAGGCTATGGAGGATCAGGTTGTTTGGTTGGCTTCTCCATCAGGTTCTTTTCGAATAGGTGCTACTTGGAACTTCCTTAGGGAAAAAAGATCTAAGGTACCCGGGTTTAGACTTATTTGGTACTCAAATTCTATTCCCAAACATAGTTTTATTGCTTGGCTGGCTATATTAGATAGATTCTCTACCAAGTCCAGGCAGAAGAATTGGTCTTCTTCCATTGATGACACTTGTGTGCTATGTGGGAATGCAAGTGAAACTAGGAACCATCTCTTCTTCTCTTGTCCCTACACTACTCATATTTGGGAAAAGATTTCTTCTATGCTGGAAATCCCATTAAAATGCGTTTGGCAAGATGCTTTGGATTGGTTATGTAAGAGAGTTAAACATAAGGCATTGTACAGCTCTCTTCTTAAATTAGCTTGGTGTGCATCAATATATCCTATATGGATTGAAAGAAATAGCAGGAGACATAGACAGCTATACAGATCTTTTTCTGCAATAATTGATATGATTCAAATGGATGTCTGAGACAAAGTACTGGTGTCTATAAAGGAAAGGTCTTCTCCCATGTCAAGGAAAATTGCAGCTCAATGGCGATTAGAAATTTTATGTATAGCTAAGGTTTGAATATATTTTAGTTTAGAAGTTATTTCATTTTTTGTACTAGCATTGGTAGCAGCCTTAAAAAGAGCTGCTTTGTATACATTTTGATAATAAATTCACATTTTACCAAAAAAATTAACTATTTTATCTACTATTAATTAACGATTATAACTATTAACTACTTTTAATAGTTAAAACAAATACAATTCTATTATTTTTGGGTCACCTTAATAACTCCTTGTATGATCATAACCATAGCCGGCTTAAGTAGTTAAAAAGCATAAGTCCCTGGTTTGAAAACTTCAAAATGAAGTGGTGTGAAGGAGTTGAGGAAAGTGAGCGCAATCATTGTTGCATAGCCCGTTAGGCCATTTCATGAGTGTGGTTACGTCTAGCGTGAACATTCACTATGTGTACATTTGTTATTTATGAGTATTTTATTTATTTGAGTAAATATTATATTTAAATAATAAAAAATTAAATAAGAAATAAGTATAAAAATAATATATCTATAACTATCAATTAAGTGATAAATATAAAAATTTAAATTTATTAATTTTATTTGTTTAATGGATTTATTTAACGAACTTGTTACTTTGGTTCGTATAATTAAAACTTTACTTTTAATTATTA